TTTAATATGACGTTTCTTTTTTTTTTGAAAAGTAAGAACAATATTAACTTTGTCGACCTCTCCATAGCGACGAATTATTAAAGAGACCTCTCATTAAAGAGACTGTAGCGAAATAGCCAAAAGTTTCAAAAGTTGGGAGAAATCGCTGAAACTAGAAGTTTATCGAATCGTTCAGTCAGTTGAAAGAAAATTTTAATATATTACAGTGGAGAGCGTGACTACTAACTCTTACCGATAGAGACGATTTTATCGATAGAAGAACCGATCTTACCGATAGAGCTCCGTGATTGTCGTCTTATTTTTAACACTTTGAACGTTCTTTGCACATTTGAACGTCTCGGTTTTTCTCATCGTGGCCTTATTTTTGCAAAATGTTTCTATTGAAAAGCAGCGTGTCTCTTTTACTAAGATTTCAACGCGTTTTGTTGATACATAAAAAAGATTGAAAAGAATTGTCGATAATTCAAACTGATATAACTTTGAAAAAGGAGAAATGATCATATTACGATCCACTTGGTCTCACTTTTAAAGCGTGAAGCCTCTACTCTGAAAGTCATTTTCAGCTCGTTTTTCTTTTTTTCTTTTTTCGAAGATGGAGGATACTCTTTTTCCCTCGCAAAATTGTAAGAATTCAAACTATCTCTGCAGAGAACGACTTCGAAAAAAATATATATATACATACATATATATATATATATATATATATATATATATATACAGGGTGTTTCGTAACTTGTGGGACCCAATTCGGAAGCTGATTGTACGCCTAAAAATAATGAAGAACAGTCATATAAATATATGTCTTATCGGTCTTCATTTATGAGATACAATGAATTTTATAAACTCTCTGTACGGCCTCTCTTTCCATAGACCGCAATAATTGATAATTGGCTCCAGGGCTCCGGGGTTCGTAAGCAAGAATTCGCACTGTTTACAAATACTAATTACTTGATATCTTTCGTTTTTTGTACTTGGTTCCTGTAAATGTGTGAACGTGAAGAGAGTTTTGTATATCTACCATAATTTTCACTGATGAAGCTAGTTTTACCAGGGATGGCATATTCAATTTTCATAATAATCATAATTGGGATGAAGAAAACCCACATGTTATTGTGCATTCAAGACATCAA